GGCTTTACCTACCGGAAAACCCAACTTCATTCCGATTTCTTCTGGGTTTTCGATTCTCTTTCTGGGTCTTTGCACAATCCCTCAAATATTCTTCCTTTCGCCTTTAAATCGGTCAGTTTTGATTCCGTTTTCCTTATAGTCTACGCTCTTTATCGAATTAGAGTTAAATTTCGATTATGGCTCCTTCGAAGTAGATAGAGAGATTGTTTTGCTATCTTAGGTCTTCAGTTCGTCCTCTTTCGATAATTGAATGATATGAATCTTTATTCGTCTTGATTTTGCCTCAGTTTCTACTGCCTTCTTCCATTGCAAACATCTCCAAGGTTTTGATTTCCACCATGACAACAAGTACTCTTAATGGTAATGCCACCACTATGGCTCTGGAGCCTCAGAGGACTTACCAAGTTGTGGTAGCTGCAACCAAAGAAATGGGTATCGGTAAAGACGGAAAATTGCCCTGGAATTTGCCTACTGATCTCAAGTTCTTCAAGGACATTACTCTGACCACTTCAGATTCGTCTAAGAAAAACGCTGTTGTGATGGGTAGAAAAACATGGGAGTCTATTCCCATTAAGCATAGGCCGCTTTCGGGTCGCCTTAACGTTGTTCTGACTCGTTCTGGTGGGTTTGATATAGCCAATACTGAGAATGTTGTCACTTGCAGTAGCGTAGATTCTGCTCTTGATTTATTAGCTGCGCCGCCGTATTGTTTATCTATTGAGAGGGTGTTTGTCATAGGAGGTGGTGATATATTGAGGTATGGAGTTGATTTCTCATCCCTTTTGTTGATTCGTAATATTGTTGTTGTGATTAACTGTTAATTGGTTGTGTGTGTAGGGAAGCATTGAACAGGCCTAGTTGTGATGCTATCCATTTAACTGAGATTGATACAAGTATTGACTGTGATACGTTTATACCTGCGATTGACACTTCCGTTTATCAGCCTTGGTATTCATCGCTTCCAATAAGTGAGAACAGACTTCGGTTTTGCTTCACGAGTTATGTCCGTGTAAAAAGTTCTGTCGATGAGTCATCTGAAGAAAGCAATGGGTCACAGTCCCTTCAGTTTGATGGGAAGAAGTTTTCGTTTCTTCCCAAAATGATTTTTGATCAGCATGAGGAGTTCCGGTATTTGAATCTTGTTGACGACATCATCTCAAATGGCAACGTGAAGAATGATCGGACTGGGACTGGTACATTATCAAAATTTGGTTGCCAGGTGATGTAAAAACCTTTTTAAATGTGTTCAATTTTTAATTATGTTGGTTATTAAGGTTAAATCAACTCACATATGCTTGAAACACAGATGAAATTCAATTTACGCAGAAGTTTTCCACTTCTGACAACAAAGGTATGCCCACTTTTCCTTAACTTTTCACGTTTACTCTTTTCCTTAACTTTCCACGTTTACTCGCAAAAAGAGAATGCTTTGTCTTCTGTCATATTTGGTGGTTCTAATTTGGTGGCAGTTTCAACTATACACTATTTCATATCAAGCTCACAAATTAATTTGCATTCTATGTTTAGAGAGTGTTTTGGAGAGGTGTTCTTGAGGAACTTATATGGTTCATAAGCGGCTCAACCAGTGCAAAGGTAAACATAAACAGATAATTTATCACCATTATTGAGACAGACTGTCTCTGCTGTGCTCTAAAACTATGCAAATGGATTAGATAGTTTTCTGAGAGGCTTGTGGCATGGGCAGGTCCTTCAGGAGAAAGGTATTCATATATGGGATGGGAATGCGTCGAGAGAGTATCTTGATGGGTAAGATTTTTAAGCGGCATTATCCTTTCAAGAAATGAAACTTAATTTTGATGGCCTTCTTGCTGATAGATCCACTGTAATTTCAGTATCGGCCTGAAAGAGAGAGAGGAAGGCGACCTTGGACCTGTATACGGATTCCAATGGAGACACTTTGGTGCTAAGTCAGTAACATTTCTCTGCGTCTTTTGGCTTTACTTCTGTGATCGGGTGGATTTCTTTTGGTGTGAACATCTCTCTTGTTATACAGGTACACAGATATGCATGCTGATTATACTGGTCACGGATTTGATCAACTTGTAGATGTAATCGACAAGATCAAAAATAATCCTGATGATCGGCGCATTATATTATCGGCTTGGAATCCTTCTGATCTTAAGTTGATGGCGCTTCCTCCATGCCACATGTTTGCACAGTTCTATGTGGCAGATGGGGAGCTCTCATGTCAAATGTATCAGCGTTCAGCGGACATGGGTCTTGGTGTGCCGTTTAACATTGCTTCCTACTCTCTTCTTACTTGCATGCTCGCTCACGTGTGTGATCTTGTTCCTGGTGATTTTACCCATGTTATTGGGGATGCTCATGTGTACCGAAATCATGTGAGGCCTCTGCAAGAGCAACTTCAGAATCCGCCAAAACCTTTTCCTGTAAGTTATCGCTAACAATGGTCATCGAGGAGGAATGCAGATTCGTCTATCCTTAACTGTTTTTTTTTAATTATCTCCATGGACTCCTTACTGCAGGTTTTGAAGATAAACCCACAGAAGAAACACATTGACTCTTTTGTGGCTGCTGACTTTGACCTCATAGGCTATGTTCCTCACAAGAAGATAGAGATGAAAATGGCGGTGTAGTCCCCATCTCTTACCGGGATACAACCAAAAGGGGATCACCGACAAATTGATTGTGTCGAATTTAACGACACAGCTTCTTTTGTTTTCTATACTCTGGGTGATGTAAAGTATAAAGATTGAATCAGATGATTGAACTTCAACATCTGGACCCAAATACCCTTTTGTGGGTGATAACTGATAACTTGTCACTGATAAATAAATGTGTTGGAATCCTTTAGTTCCGCATGGTTCTATGTTGACTTAGGGGTTTATACTTGATAACCATACTATTTTCTTTATTTCAAAATCAAAATTTCCAAAGTCCTTCAAGACTTGCTTAAACCTAATTGATACATTGTTATGGGTTTGTGACAGTTGTGTTGCGTACTGTCTGGAGATGATTGTTCTCAGAAAGAAGAAACAAAAAGTCTAATAAGTGAATGAGTACTTGGTTGATTTGGTTAATAAATGATTGGAATTGATGGGATTTTTCGTTCTAGTGTTTTTTGATACGGAACTACATTGGCTGATTGTTGTACTATAATTGGTAGAAAACCACAATATAATTCTCTATGCTGTTTGTGTAATTCTCTATGCTGTTTGTAGCTGTTGATCACACAAAACGTGACATATAAAGAAAAATGTTACAGAAACAAGAGCTCCTCTCTAAATCATGTTATATGAGTCTACATGCAGTGAATATCATCTACTTAAGACACAACGTGTTCGATCCGGCAACATACGACAAGCTTATGTCCGAAGCTCCCAAGTTCAAATTGATCACTCCTATTCTCTCTGACCGTCTTCGGGTAACTAACTATCTCTACTCTTTCAAGTTTCCAAGTTTTACCTCTTTAATGGTGTGTTAAGTTCTTAGTTTAGAAATGTTTATTAGTATCTTTGCATCAGTTTGTTAAAACCTCAAGCGAATTAGTGTTTCTTTACAATGTACTAAAGAGAGATGTGAATGTGCTCATTTAGTTATTGGTTACTAAAACAAAGCCTAAGTAAGAAATTTCATTTGATTTTGTACACAGATGTTGTATAGGTTCTGTAATTGATTACGGTTGATATGTGTGTCATGCAGATCAATGGGTCTCTTGCTAGAAAGGGGATTAGAGATTTGATGGCCAAAGGAACGATCAGGATGGTCTCTATTCACTCAAGCCAACAGATGGCTACCCACAACTAAGTTCCCTTTCATTGTTTTCTATCTTTTAGCCTCTTGTATTGCTCAAGTCTTGGCTCAATGTTTAGATGCTGATCTTGTTTCCTTTTAACCAAGAGTTTGGAGAATGGTCCGACGTTTCTTTTATCCAAAGAAGGATTGTTTGTTCTCAAAGTTTTATGCTTTCCTTAGTGAAGCGTTTGTAGTATTCAGAACCCAATGGTGTTTTGTGGGGTTGCCTAGGTCAATGGCTGCACCAGTTACAAATCAGAATAGTGATGCTGTGATGATTAATGAAGAAGATTTAGGATGCAAATGAGTTATTCATACATACACAACTGATATGATGATAGTCTGATTGACCCTTGAGTAGAACCTGTCAAAATCTTACACGGATGCGATTGTAGCAAGCCTGCAATCTAGTTTTGTTCTTTTCTCTAAGTTGTAAGTGATGACTAGGAAGCTCGGTCTGATAATTTTGTTTTACCTTAAGTCCCGAACATTCCAAACCATGAGAGAGTCCGTCTTTCTTAGACCATATGGGTTTAAACCGGTCAGAGCCTTCCCCATCAGTGCCATGGCAGCAATACTTGGAAAGTGCTTCTTCTCGATCTCCTTCTGGTTCTCGGGCTCAACGCTAACGTCTTGCCCTCCTGGCTGATCAGTCAATGTAGTTTTCTTCTTGCACCATCTCTGGATCCATGGATGAAGAAGCGTAATGTCTTCTCCTCCCTGGTTCAGATTCTTGATTTGTGACGTGACCGGTTCTTGATTTCTTGGTTGGAGACTGTTGATTCCGGATTTCAAGATTTCAAGGAACATGTTGTTGTTCCCTTTTTGGCCCGGTGATGCTTCTTCAATCTTCATCAGGCTCTTGGTTTCAGCATGTCCACTGGAATCTGAGGCGTTTGTTTTGAGACGCTTGACCCATCTACTGCTGGGTTCCGGTTCTGGTTCCAACCGTGCACGTTTGCACTCTCTGGATACAAAGTGGTCCACGTTCATACTTTGAGTAGCCGAGTTGCTTGTTTCTCCCCGATGTCCATCAACTGAATTCTCTATATCCAGAACCAGAGGCGGTTCTTCATTCATGTCAGGTATTTCGGTCCTCGGAATGGCTGAATCACCTATTATTCCTTTGCCCTGCAAAATTTTTAAGACCGATGAATAACATTTCAGGATCTTTCATAGCCACAACTGACTAAACGCTTTCGAGTTTACGGATGAAGATAGAGGTAGTTTGAACAATACCTTAGTTGATGATGAAGAAATGGAGCCTGCCAAGAATATTGAGAATCAGAAAAGTATAAAAATAGACAGAGCTTATGAAAAGACCTTAAAACATGTATCTTAAGGTTTCAATATACCGGAAAGATGTATCATCTGAAGTCTATCCATTTCCAAGGTATCAGTCTCCGTTGATGATTCGTTTCTTGTCGGACCATCTTCTTCGGTGTCCTTTGAGCTGTCTAGAGATTGCAGCCTTACTCCACCTTTATGTTTGTGGTCTAGAGTGGGAAATAGATCAAGATACCCACCAAATAATTTCCCTTTCAGTTTCATGGAAACCGTCGTCCCTTTGAAAAGCTGATGACCATCTTCTTCTGGCAAGTTAATCTCTCCAGGAACTCTTTGAACCGAATCAACCGTAGCATATATCCTCACCGGTCTTATCAACTCTAGCAAGTTTTGTGTAGTCTTCTCTTGAACTGGGAAATCAAGACGGTTACCGGAACTGAATCTCTCTTTGTCACCTTCTGCATACATCCAAGGCATTCTATTAGCCATAACTTTCGAGCTCGAACCCACATCGTCTTTAGCTTCAAATACCGAGCAAGCTTGAACCTTTGTAGTATTATCTCTCTTCTGAGAAACCTTGAACATAGGAAACGGCAAGACCTCCTCGCCAGATTTTCTCTCTGAGACATTATCTTCAGGCCTACTCAGCTCCTTAGAGTCACCATGAAACTTCACTTCATTACCTAAATGACTCCAACGACCTAACCAAGCAGATTCATAACCTTGGACTGAAGAAGTCTTGCTGATTCCTTTGTTAACTTTACCCAAAACCAAAACTTGTTCAGACATTGTACCTACAGATCTTATCTGTAATCACTTCTCCAAAGACCTGATCAAATCACCTGAAAGTAAAATCTATTTTTCTCAACTACAATGGATGATCCAGAACAAAGCAAATTCCATGAGCATCAAGCTTCCAAATTTCATCAATCAAGTGGAAAATTACTGTTAATCTCAACAGTTTTCTTAACCAAATTTCACATTTCAACAAACAAGACAACGAAAACATTCTCTTTCAATCAATTCTCGAAAATAGACAAGCGATTCCAACAAAATTGAACTTACAGAGAAGACATACATATCGATGCAAGAGATGATGAAGCTTTATCATGAGATACAAAAGTAATCTCACACAACCCAGAATAAAAAAAAGAAGACGAAACTTTAGAGAGAGATTCGAGGATGAAGATTATTATTACCAGAGACGAATACGTGGAGAAAGAGTGTCCAAATAAGAAAAATATAAAATTTCGATTTTTTTTTTTTGTTCCTTAATACGCTATTTATCCTCTCAAGAACAGAACAAAAAGAAATCCG